GCAAGCCAGATTTGATGTCACGTGCATGTAGTTCCAGCACGCAAAAGACTTGAGGCAGGAGTATTTAAGCCAGCCAGTACTACATACCTTGTCTCAAAAAAAAAATTGAAAAGAAGAGGACTAAGACATTTCTGAACCCATCAAGTATAGACTAGGCAGATTAACAGCTGCTTCTGCTTTTTTAGCTGAAGTTCTATGTGTCTCTTTAAGGTCTGCTGGTGTTATTTTTTAAAACAAACCTGGACTTTCTTTTCTTCTTTTTTAAAAAGTGGGCTTATTCGTGGTGTTTAGATACAGGGTATGCTGCTACCTGACTCTGGAAAATGGATTCAGTGGTGTTCAGTTAACCCCTTACAGGCCTTGTCTTGTGGAAATTCCCAGCCTGTTGTCACAGCAATTCAGCACTGATAATTTCAAGGAACTCCAGAGAAGTCTTTCATAAGAGCAAAAAAACATATAGACAAGAAGTCAGGTTTCAGACATAGTGGAGGAAAAAAGCAGTGGAAATGGACTTAAATGATTTTGCTAATGTATACCAGGCTAGAATAAGTAGGCATGGTTGTTGTGGAGAAAGATCTTAGAAGCATTAGAAAGGAGATACATAGTGGTCTCTGAATTAAGAGCCAAAATCAGGGTTAAAAAAATGATTTTTCCATTTTGTTTTATTGGTGGGTTTTGTTTGTTTGTTTGTTTGTTTGTTTGTTTGTTTTGAGACAGGACCTCACTGTGGAGCCCAGACTGGCCTCAAACTCGTACCAGGCTTTCTGTACACTGTCAAGAAAACATTTTTAGGTAAATGAGAAGATGTATCTGGTATATGTATGTGGTAAAAGAAGAGAAATTGTCTGCTGTAAGGGGAGGGGTAGGAAGACTTTGGACCATAGCAGAGTACCATAGCAGATCCAAAACCAAGAAAGAGTACAGATACAGTGAAAGGAAGAACAATCCCTAACAAGACAATCTCCACTGAGGGCTCTTTAGACTTACGATTTGTAGTGGGTCATGTCAGGACAGTTGCATGATGCTAGTATTGTCTGATAGAATTTTCCCACAGCTGAGGATTAACAAAGTGGATATGCTGAGAGACTCAGGGTCAGTGAGAGAAATTTGAATGCACTGTACTCCAAAAACTGTTGCTAAATCAGCCCTAGTACTGCATTCTGAATAAGTCACTGCCCAATCTCGTTGAGGAAAAGATGTTCCAGGGGGGCTTGAGAGTCTGAGAGAAAGGAGACGTTAAAGGTCAAAGTGAAGGAAAACCAGATTCTGTTGGAATAAAGAGGTGGAATGGCTCTAAAGGTGATAGATCTCTGGCTAAAGAGAATAATGTTAAGCTGCAACAACTCCAAGGTGAAAGCTTTTTTTTAATACTAGAAGAAGCTGGTCTTGTTTATAATTCTTATCCCCTAAACCATTCTTCTTCCTGTATCAGAAAACTGCATTTCTAGACCAAACCTGAGGACATTCCCTTTGATTCTGCAGGCCTCATAACCAGTCCAAAGGCAGACCTTTCATAGTGACTGCTTACCCCAGCCACAGGTCTCAGGAGCACCAGTGACTGTCAGCGTCAGCCTATCCCCACTGCAGCCAGGCTGCCTTAGGACATGGGAAACGCTTGTCAGGCTTTATTTACTTATTTGACTGTCTATCCCTTTGTTTGTTTTAATCTCTAGTTACTTCCCTGTATATTTAAGTAAGCGTCACAGTCTATCCATGTCCTGGGTGTTGGTGTGGTCCCTGCTACACCCATACAGAACATCCCATTCTCTCAAACGCTACACTTTGCTCATGACCTTTTCATGCTAACTGAAAAGGCTGTCATCTGAGCAAGAGTTCCCGTTTATACATCCCTGCTGTTGCCCCAATGAATTGTGTGTAAAGTACTCACAATTTTTTGTCTCTTTTTCTTGCTTGTTTGTCTGCATTGAAACGTAAAATTTACAAAAAGGTCTTGTGTTCCATTGCCCACCAGTTTATCTCCAGAATATGCAGCATTGTTGCTAAATAAATATTTTTTGAGTGAATGAAAATCAGTTTTTATCTTGCTGGAATAATGTGTTTCTTTTTCAGAGTGTATCATGATGAGATATGTGACTTTTCTTTTCATAGGGAGAGGCAGTCCGTCTGTCCAGGCAGCTCCCCATGTACTTACCAAGAGAGGACGTCCAAGATCTTATCAATAGAATGAAGCACCTGTTTGGGAATGAAATTAAAGAGTGTGTTCATGGCCGCCCATTTGTTCATCATTTAACCCATGTTCCAGGAACTTCATGATCAAGCTTAATGACAATCAGTTACTGTTGAAATTCATAATGGTCCTTAAACCATTTTGTATTATCATTTATCAAAGTTTGTTTACTGGACAAAGTTTTTAAAAGTTGTAAAATATGTATAAATAAATAATATGCAGTATTGATTTTGTTCTCGAGTCCAGCCTTCAAACAAATTGCAAGTTGTAGGCACACAGTGGAAGACAGAGTGCTTGCTTGTGGGTGCTTGATTAACCCACTCAGCGCTGCTTAGAGAGGCTTCACCCACCCCAGCCTCGGCTGCATACCGGAGAGGAATGCACCATCCAGTTTGAAAGTGGATGGGGAGGGAGGGAATAAGAATATGATAAAATAAGCCATTGCTGCCTCTCCAATATGATAATTGTAGCTTTAGGGTCAAATTTTGTCAGAGAATTTGCACAAGAATATAACATTTTTAGCAGAAAAAAAAATAATTACAAACTTTTTTCCATATATATTCCTTTATAAACCATGTCAGTGTGTTCCAGTACTTTACCAAAAATTAGAACACAATTTGTTTAATAAGTGGATTTGTTGTCTAAAGTAAGATATGTTGTAGTGGGTATGGTATCTATATCTACAGTTTTCATGGGTCATCAATACTTAATTTTTGTATTTACATACAAATTACAATATCTGAGTTATTCCTGTTGCTCAGCCTGTTTCCTCACCAAAGTTGTTTCCTGTGACCCAGCTAATGCTACCCTCAACACACAACTCTAACTCACTTTGTAAATTTGAGGCATTGTACTGATTGTGTGTGTTTTGTATGTGCTCATGGAATGGGTCTTCCTGCATGCAGAGGTGGGTAGAGGAGGGCAGTATTCTGTGGTATTGCTCTTTGTATTGATCTCTTCTGACCAGAGCACTCATTGCACATTGGTCTCATTGTTTTTCTGCCTGCTGTCTGGCCATTGCTGAGTTTACGGGCTCACACTTACAGCCCAGCTTTTCAACTTTAAGTGTTGTTTGTGTTGAGACAGGGTGGTGAGAGTCAGAACACAGATTCTCCGTCCTTGCACACAAAATTCCCTTCCTTACCTTAGAGCCATCTTCCGGGACCAGTTAATCCCCTTTAATTGGACAAATTGAGGGGGTAACAGGTCCCCAAGAAACAGGAAGAAATTGAACCATACAGCACAGCAGCACTAAACAAAAAATGTTAAGTCAGATTGGTCCTGCCACAGCCTCTTGAGGGCATAAACTCATTTTTTTATTTCTCATTTGAGCATCACTTTGTGACTGAAAAATACTATCAACACTAATCCCAAGGCTAAGTGGGGTTTCTGTTTTTGTTTTATTTTATTTTTGGTTTTTTGGTGGTGGTGTTTGTTTTCGAAACAGGGTTTCTCTGTGTAATAACCCTGGCTGTCCTGGACTCTGTAGACCAGGTTGGACTCAAACTCACAGACAGCTGCCTGCCTCTGCCTCCATCACCACACCCGGCCCTGAGGCTGGGTGTTTTTAACAGATATTTGCTGTAAAAAATAGACTTAGGGGCCACACAGTACAAATATTTGATAGTAGGGTGATATAAGGCATTCCCTGACCCACTCTGACAAATGCTTCGTTGAGCAAATAAACTTGGGTCCACATTTTTTTGATGCTTTTGGAGCAGCAGGGTGTGTGAGCTGCCTGCTTTTTCATGGGGTTGGTTTATCATGAGGTCATCCAAGCTTTGTTCTTGGCTCTTGGATCTGTTGGCTGTAGCCTACCTTCCAAGAGCCCTCCCTCTATCCCAGCAACACCTGCGCACCCTGGACAACATGGCTGGAGCTGGCAGCGACGGAGAGGCCCTGGCTCCCCAGATAGAGGTAACGGCTATGGTTTGGGAGGCTGGGAGCCAGGGTGTTAAGTACAGGGTGGAACTATCCAGAGAAAAAGGTTCTAAATTACTCATTACTCCAGCAGGCTTCCATGTTGTACGCTCGAGAAAGAAAAGACTTCTAAATATCATTTTCCCAGACCGTTGTTGGTATCCAAATATGTTATTTTTAAGGGATGCCCCATGGAGGCCTTGTGGAGGTGAAACCTGCGGGTCCTTTTTGTACAAATACATCTCCAGAGCAGAAGCCAGGAGTATTGTAGGCAGGTCTATGGCATTTTAGGTTCTTTACATAGTGATAAGTGTTAAGTCCAAATTCAGATGGACAGATTATTTAAAAACCTTTTTTTTTTCTTTGTGTTTTCTTTTTTTTTTTAATTTTATTTTTTTCTTATTAGTTACATTTTATTAACTCTGTATCCCAGCCGTGTCCCGATCCCTCATTCCCTCCCAGTCCCTCCCTCCCTCCCTCATCTCCACCGTGCCCCTTTCTGATACAGGGTTTCTCTGTGTAGCACTGGTTGTCCTGTAACTCACTCTGTAGACCAGGCTGGCCTTAAACTCAGACCTACCTGCCTCTGCCTCCTGAGTGCTGGGATTAAAGAGCATATGCCACCAACTCCCAGCTTCCTTGATTATTGCAATTTTATACAAATTCTGTGGCTTAGGTTACAGTCACTGGAACCCATACCTCTATAGTAAATATTTCTTTTTTTTTTAATAATTTTTATTTTATGTGCATTAGTATGAAGGTGTCAGATCCCTTGGAACTAGCGTTACAGGCAGTTGTGAGCTGCCATGTGGGTGCTGGGAACCTTAAGAACCCAGGTCCTTTGGAAGAGCAGACAGTGTTCTTAACCACTGAGCCATCTCTCCAGCCCCCCCAAAATATGGAATGCTTCACGAAATTGCATATCATCCTTTCGCAGGGGTCATGCTAATGTTCTCTGTATTGTTCCAATTTTAGTATATGTGCTGCCGAAGCAAGCATAGTAAATATTTCTTAACTAAAAGTTCATAAAATGTTTTTCGCTTTTATTTCCATCATATTTTTTGCAAGATCCCCCCATTCTCTTAAAAGCCAGCTGAAGAGATTACTGAACTGACGCTTGTGGTTGCTAAGGAATCACCCAGGAGAAGAAGGGGAAGAAAAGGGTTGGGGATAGGGGCAAGAATGTATTCAAGTGGGGTGGATATGATCATATTTCATTCTATAAATTTATAAAATTTTCAAGAATAAGGGAAATAATTTTTGACTAAAACATTACATATTATTGGTTTGTTCCTTAAGAGTTAACCCAGTTGGCCCTCTCAAACACCTAGCCAGGAGACCACCCCTCACGAAGACAGATTCACCTGAAAACATATTGAAGAGAGGAACAATTATCTCCTTAATGACAATTACCCTTCCCAAAAGCTCCTCTCCCATGCAGCTGCTTAGAGCGTGCCTGTTCTGCAGTCTGCCAACTATGCCCACTTTCCTAAGCTCTAACTCATGATCCTTTTATTTCCTTCTTTCTGTCTTTTTCTTTTGCATACTAGCCGAAACCTACACTGCATTTCTCTGGCATTCTGATTCCTCACTACATCTCTGAAGCTTCCCACTACCTTCCATCCAGCTGCTCTCCAACTTCCACTACAGGAAGTGCAACTTTCTTGGATCCAGACTCAAAAAGGCATTTCCTCCATCTTTCCTCCAGCTCCATCCTCCTGACAGCCGCCAAGATGTACAGTTTGCCTGCCTTGTTTTTATCTCAAATTTTAATAAAAATGACCTTGTGCTTCCTAGTCTGTTCTGCTTCTAAGTTCTTTTATTACTTAGAATAAGAACCCAGAACTGAATCCCAATTTTTCTGGTAACATATCCATCTCAGACTTCCCTACCTAATTTTGCTTGTTGTATACTACCTTAACTCATACCCAACCAGCAGACATTTACTCCACTAGACTCAGAATTAATATTAATCTTAGAAATTCTTAAGGGCCTCCTGGACAAACTAGGCACTTTCTTGGTGTGTGTGTGTGGTTTTTTTTTTTTTTTAGTCTAGTTCATTTTTAATCATTTTTGCTCTTTTTTTATACACTTCTACATTTTATGGCATACCATTATGTTAGAATCAACACTGCTCAAAAATATACTATGAGATCCCCTAAAGAGCGTAGCCTTGCTCACAGTAGACTTGTTGGAGTCATGCTAATGCATAGAAACAACTTTTTTTACTTCTGAAGAAACCACATGCTCTGGACACTGCACAAGCAGGAATCAAGCATATGTGAATGGAGGCCTCATCTCTGAGGACTAGCTTTCATACTAGAGAAAGTGCCATGAAAGCTTCCAAATATGGAAAGTAATCAATAATCCTACCGAGCAGCGATGGGTACAAACCACAGTTACTTGAAAAGATATTCTCAAAGTAAAATGGTGGTGTGCTTGCTAGTTTTATGTCAACTTGACACAAGCTAGAGTTACTGAAAAAGGGAATTCAAAATTGAGAATATGCTTTCATAAGTTCTGGCTGTAACAATGTTCTTTCTTTAAAAATTTTATTTATTTTTTTCTATAAATTACAGTTTATTCACTTTGTATGCCAGCTGTAGCCTCCTCCCACGGCCCCTCCCAACCCCACCCTTCCTCCCCCATCTCCTCTCATGTCCTCCCCCAAGTCCACTGATAGGGGAGGTCCTCCTTCTCTTCCTTCTGACCCTAGCCTATCAGGTCTCATCAGGACTGGCTGCACTGTCTTCCTCTCTGGCCTGGTAAGGCTGCACTCTACTCAGGGGTAGGTGATCAAAGAGCCAGCTACTGAGTTCATGTCAGAGACAGCCCCTGGTACCCTTACTAGGGCACACACTTTGGGCACTGAGCTGCCATGGGCTACATCTGTGCAGAGTTCTAGGTTATCTCTATGTATGATCCTTGGTTGGAGTATCAGTCTCAGAAAAGACCCCTGTGCCCAGATACTTTGGTTCTGTTGCTCTCATTGTGGGGCTCCTGTCCCATCTAGGTCTTTCTGTTTCCCCCTTCTTTCATAAGATTTCCTGAACTCTGCTCAAAGTTTGGCTATGAGTCTCAGCATCTGCTTTGATACCCTGCTGGGTAGTCTTTCAGAGGCCCTCTGTGATAGGCTCCTGTCCTGTTCCCTGTTTTCTCCCTCTTCTAATGTCCATCCTCTTTGTCTTTCTGAGTGATGATTGATCACCTTACCTAGAGTCCTCTTTCTTGCTTAGCTTCTTTAGGTGAACAGATTTTAGTATATTTATCCTATATTATATGTCTAATATCCACTTATAAATGAGTATATACTATGGGTATCTTTTTGCTTCTGGATACCTCACTCAGGATGATCTTTTCTAGTTCCCACCATTTGCCTGGAAATTTCATGATTTCCTTGTTTTTAATTGCTGAGTAGTATTCCTTTTTGTAAATGTACCACAATTTCTGTATCCATTCCTCCACTGAGGGACATCTGGGTTGTTTCCAGGTTTTGGCTATTACGAATAAAGCTGCTACAAACATGGTTGACATGTCCTTGTCGTATACTTGAGCATATTTTGGATATATACCTAGGAGTGCTATACCTGGATCTTGAGGAAGCCCTATTCCTAATTATCTGAGAAAGCACCAGATTGATTTCCAAAATGGTTGTACAAGTTTACATTCCCACCAGGAATGGAGGAAGGTTCCCCTTTCTTCACATCCTCTCCAGCATGTATTGTCACTTGATTTTTGATCTTAGCCATTCTAATAGTATACCCATTAGAATGATTTGCATTTCCCTGATAACTAAGGATATTGAGCATTTCTTTAAGTATTTCTCTGCCATTTGATGTTCCTCTATTGAGAATTCTCTGTTGAGCTCTGTACCCCATTTGTTAATTGGATTTAATATTTTTATTTGATTTGTTGCTGTTTAACTTCTTAAGTTCTTTATATATTCTGGATATTAGCCCTGTATCAGATATAAGGTTGGTGAATATCCTTTCCCAATCTGAAGCCTGTCATTTTGTTCTTGACAGTGTCCTTTGCTTTACAGAAGGTTTTCATTTTCGTGAGGTCCCATTTATTGATTGTTGATCTTAGAGCCTGTGATGTTGGTGTTCTGTTCAGGAAGTTGTCTCCTGTGCCAATGAGTTCAAGGCTCTTCCCCACTTTTTCTTCTAAGAGGTTTGGAGTGTCTGGTTTTTGATCCACTTGGACTCTAGTTTTGTGCAGGGTGATAAGTATGGATCTATTTGTATTTTTCTACATGTAGATATCCAGTTAAACCAGCACCATTCATTGAAGATGCTATCTTTTTTTTCCATTGTATGGTTTTGGCATCTTTATCAAAAATCAGGTGTCCATAAGTGTATGGGTTTATTTCTAGGTCTTCTATTCGATTCCATTGAACCACCAGCCTGTTTCTAGTATCCATTTTTTTTTTTATTACTGTTGCTCTATAGTACAACTTGAGATCAGGAATGGAGATACCTCCAGAAGATCTTTTATTGTAGAGGATTGTTTCAGCAATTATGTTTCTTGTTATTCCATATGAAGTTGAGATTTTTTCTTTCAAGTTGTAATTTGATGGGAATTGCACTGAATCTGTAGATTACTTTTGGGAGGATGGCCATTTTCACTATTTTAATCCTACGGATCCATGAGCATGGGAGATATTTCTATCTTCTGATATCTTCTTCAATTTCTTTCTTCAGATATTTGAAATTTTTTCCAAACAAGTCTTTCACTTGCTTGCTTAGTCACCTCAAGGTACTTTATGTTATTAATGGCTATTGTGAAGGGTGTTCTTTCCCTAATTTCTTTCTCAGCCCTTTTGCCTTTATATACAGGAGGGCTACTGTTTTTGTTGTTTTGTTGTTGCTTGTTTGTTTTTTAGTTAATTTTGTATCCAGCCACTTTGCTGAAGGTGTTTACCAGCTGAAGGAGTTCTCTGGATGAATTTTTGGGGTCGCTTATGTAGACTATCATATCATATGCAAATAGTGATACTTTGCCTTGTTCCTTTCTGATTTGTATGTATCCCCTTGATCTCCTTTAGTTGTCTTATTGCTCTAGTTAGGACTTCAAGTACTATGTTGAAGAGATATGAAGAGAATGGGCAGCCTTGCCTTGTCCTGTGATTTCAGTAGGATTGATTTAAGTTTCTCTCTGTTTAGTGTGATGTTGGCTATAGGCTTGTTGTATATTGTCTTTACTATGTTTAGGTACATTGTAATCTGATTTCTCCAAGACTTTAAAGATGAATGGGTGTTGGATTTTGTCAAATACTTTTTTGGCATCTAAAGCGATGATCATGTCGTTTTTTTCTCCTACAGTTTGTTTATATGGTGGATTACATTGATGGATTTCTGTATATTGAACCACCCCTGCATGTCTGGGATGAAGCCTCTTTGGTCATGATGGATGATACCTTTTATGTGTTCTTGGATTCAGTTTGCAAGTATTTTTGCATCACTGTTCATAAGAGAGATAGATCTGAAGTTCTCTTTTTTGTTGCGTCTTTGTGTGATTTAGGTATCAAGGTGACTGTGGCTTCATAGAATGAGTTTGGTAGTGTTCCTATGTGGAACAGTTTGAAGAAAATTGGAGTTGTACCTCTTTGAAGGTCTGGTAGAATTCTGCATTGAAACCATCTGGCCCTGGGCTTTTTTTGGAAGGGAGACTTTTGATGACTGCTTCTATTTCCTTGAGGGATATAGGACTATTCAATCTTTCCACTTGAGATTGATTTAATTTTGGTAAATGGAATCTACCAAGAAAATTCTCCATTTTCTTTAGATTTTCAAATTCTGTGGCATATAGGCTTTTGTAGTAAGACCTAATGATTGTTTGGATTTCCTCATTGTCTGTTGTTATGTCCCCATTTTCATTTCTGATTTACATAGTTTCTCTCTGCCTTTTAGTAGTTTGGCTAAGGGGTTGTGTATCTTGTTGATTTTTCTCAAAGAACCAGCTCTTGGTCTCGTTGATTTTTTGAATAGTTTTATTTG